GCCGAAGGGAAGGGGGCTTCTCGTTCCCTGCCTGGCAGAGGGTTTTGTTACAAAATGAATGTGGTGTTGGCTGCTGGGCTGCAGACTTGTCTCTGGCGGGAGTTCTAGGTCAGAGCAGAAGCTCAGTAACCAAGGGACAAACCAAGGTCAGAAGCACAAGGACATATGGGAAATCCAGAAGCAGGGCAAAGACTGGAAACCAGAACATCTGTGCCATGAGGTGGAGGCAGGAAGAAGAGCAGCGCGAAAGGGCTCAGAGCAGGGTCAGCAGAAACACACAGCTGTGCAGACTCTCCCTGCGCATCCCCCAGGGAGTCAGCCCAGTGCAGAGCCTCAAGGTCTCCAGTGTCGATGAGATGGCAGAACCTGCTGCTGAGCCATCAGCTGCTGACCCATGGCATCCTGGTGGCTCCAGTGCCAGGGGCTGCAGTAACAGCTGCTCCTGGAGGTAGTCTTCAGCTGGGATTCAAGGCTTTGTTAGTAAAGTTACTCAGTCTGGTGGGATAGCCTCCTAAAGAAAGTGAGCTTGTGTTCGAAGCTTGAAGGAGGGTCACCATCCTTTAGGTCTCTCTTGCTGTGGCCTTGACAGGCTGAGAAAAGTGTCGTAGTCCGAGCAAGGAGCTGGAGTCATGATGCCTGGATTCTCCCCCTCCTCTCAGCCCTGATCCTCATAGCAGTGATGCTGTGAGGGTTACAGCAATGTTAGAAAGAGCTTGAAAGCCTGACAGAGCACCTTTCAGTTTTTAAGTCTTTCTTCTATTGTGAGGTTCTTCGTCAAGTATATGCTAACAGTTCATTATTTTAAATGGCTAAACTCCAAGAATGGAGGTGAAGATGGTGCTGGAAGGAAGACTCCCTGCAAGCTGCGTTGTTCTCACTCGAGTAGCAGCTTGGTGCACTTGTGATCACTGAGGATGCTGCAGTGCATCCTCTGGTCACAGGAATGATAAGCAAACTTGAGTGCTCACAGCAGAAGAGCATAAAAGGATTGTGTATTTCACTGTCTTTCACAGAAGGTTGTGGGGACAGCGTTTACTGTAATTGCAGACCAGTAGCAACCTCTGCCTGGAATGGCCAAGATGGTGAAAGAATCCTCTTATGCCCTCTCTTATCTGCTTCTGTAGATAAGAAGGTGGGTTACAGCAGTTCCCCCCTTCTTTTCTCAAGTCTCCATCTGTTCTCCACTTACCTGACTGCATCTTTCCTCTTGATCCTTGGTCAGAAATGCTGAATTGTGAAATATTGAGATTGCACCACGAGTTGAGAAATGTTTCTAGGCTCTGGCGGGCATCATTCTTACCTCTGAGTGTGGAAGTGGAATGGAGGAATGATTCGGGTAGCTGTCACTGTATGGTTAACTAGTGCTGAAGCTTATCAGCTCCTTTGGAGGGAAAACCCTCCGCAGGAACTTTTATCTCTGGAAATGGTAAAATCCTAATGTGTGTCTCCCCATGGTATTTGCTACACCAGCAGCTAGCTATTCTAGAACAGACAATCCCTGGGGATGTTTTAGCAACCTATGGCAGCCTGGGAAAGCCTCCATAGAGTCTGGTAGTTAAAAATGGGCTTTCTTGTGTCTACTTGCCTCTTTTTTTCCATGAAAAAGACCTGGCATTGCTATTAGACTTTTCTCATTACTACTTCTTTTTTTTTTTTTTAGCCTACAAGGAGAAAATGAAGGAGCTGTCCCTGCTCTCTCTCATCTGCTCCTGTTTCCACACCCAGCCGCATCCTAATACCATCTACCAGTATGGAGGTACATATTGTGCTATAAAATTGTTTGCAAATCCTCCCTGACAGCAGCTTCGGTGAACATGGGAGCTCTTCAGCACGCTGAGCTGTCCCATCCTGGAGAAGCAATCTGTGTTTTAACTCATGGTCTCTATTTAGTCTTCTTTCATAGTTTATTTTATTAACATGTGACCCACGTTTATCCAGAAAGAAACTGCTTGCAGAGGCCCTCTAGTTCATACTGGGGTGACAGACACTATGTTAACACAGTATGGCCTTTCTGCAACTATTCTGTGGCTTTAAATTAAATGCGTTGACCAGAGAGAATTTGAAGCTGATCACTACTCGCCGACAAAGAGAACAGTGTCAATGTGGAAGTAAAAATGAGAACATTATTGTCAAATATTCCAATGAAGAGCAGTATTACAGGATAGTTTTGTCAGAGGGTAAGGAAGTTTGAGCTGAAACTTGGAGACAGTTTTGGAGATGGAACAAAATCACCCAAGTGGGAGTTTGAGCAGGACAGGGGAATTAACACCTCCTGAGAATTAACGTTCTCCTGAGTGTCACAGGTACACAGAGCTCCTGTTTTTTATTTTTTCACAAAGATATGGAGGTGAAGCAGCTGGATAAGAGGGCATCAGGCCAGAGCTTTGAAGTGATCCTGAAGTCTCCTTCAGATTTGTCTCCCGAGAGCCCAATCCTTTCCTCTCCCCCCAAGAAGAAGGATCTGTCCCTGGAGGAGCTGCAGAGGAGGCTGGAGGCTGCAGAGGAGAGGAGGAAGGTAAGGAGATATTCTGTAAAAGCAGTGACTTTTGTGTGACCGGTGCTAACTGCACCAAGCCCTAAAAATGTCTTATCAAGAGGAATCTAAAATGAGTGGAAATAGTGTTCTGACACGTATTCTTATTCATCTGTAAATTGTTGAGTGAGACATAGGAGTCACTGAGTGAAATTCTGCAGCCTGTTTTAGGCAGGAAATTAAACTTGATTATAATCTTCCTCCTGTTCTTAAAAGTGCATAGTTATATGGAGTCCCCTCTGATCTAGTATGTGTGACCTTGCTATGGGCTGAAATTCTTACCAGCTGATGCTGTAGGAGATGTAATTGTTGGTCATACGCTCAAAGTGTGTATCCTGTCCCTTAAGCATTTTTCTGTGATGTTGCTTTCCCTCAGACCCAGGAAGCGCAGGTGCTGAAGCAGCTGGCGGAGAAACGAGAACACGAGCGGGAGGTGCTCCACAAGGCTCTGGAGGAGAACAACAACTTCAGCCGGCTGGCTGAGGAGAAGCTCAACTACAAGATGGAGCTGAGCAGGGAGATCCGTGAAGCACACCTCGCTGCCTTGAGGGAGCGGCTCCGCGAGAAGGCGAGTGCGCGGCTCGCAGCCTGGCACCTCGGGAGCGGGCAAGGTCGGGGGCCCCACGGCAATGGAAGGGCCATTTGTGCCCTGGTCCTTGCAGTGCCACCTTGATAGGCTTGCCTCGAGCATGACTGGGAGGTATGTGTCCTGAGTATACCCATACCTAGTGTGGTGTCTCCTGTCTTTGCAGGAACTGCATGCAGCTGAAGTTCGCAGGAACAAGGAACAGCGGGAGGAGATCTCTGGATAAAGGGCTTTTCTACACATCTAGCACCTGATTCCTGTTAACAAATCAACCAACCAACACATTTTATTTTGTTTGTCTAGATGCAACATTTGGGTCTCCATTCCTTCCCTCCCCCTGGTGTTAGTGCCCCAGCTACACGCTTCTATCTCCGCACCCTTAACTGTACTTGTGGGGATTCACAGATCATAGGGACTTCTAAGCAGAATAGCAACTAGTTCACATGAAGTATAGAATCAATGAATCAGTCAATCAAACAGCTTCCTGGGGGGATTTTGTCCTTTTTTAAAAAATATTTCTTAAACTGATGTAAAGAATTAAGTTATTAATAAATTCAACCAGCAGTGTCATGGAGATAACGGATTTCTTATCCGGGGCTTTTACTACTCTTGGTGTTTGCTCTGAGCCAAATATCAGTTTGAGAATAATTGGGAGTAAGTGATCATTTCTTTATATGAAGTGGTATAACTAATAGATCCTCTATTTCCCAGTGGTAGGAGAAAGGAATAAGAGAGGGATGGAGATGGCTCAGGGAGTTGTGGCATGCAGACCCTTTCATCTCTTGGTTGTTATCTGAAGCCAGCCCAGGTAGGCAGTGACTAAAAGTCATTATCTTTGGATGATTCTTTGATAGCCCATATGAAAGTAGCTAGGGGTCTCAAACTAGAACTTGGTGAGAGGTGCCCACATCACAGAAAGTCCCTATCACAGCAAGCACTAGTTGATATCCTAGTTGGCCACAGACTGAACAAGCCTGTAGACTGAACTGCCCTCGCCCTGGCAGAGGGAAGACCAAGACAGCTTGGTCAAGCAGCATGGGAGAATCTTATACTGCTATTGCCTCTATGGAGCCTGGGTCTTTGGCTGTCCTGGGGGGATGGGGCTTGGTCTCCAGGCCTGTCCAGTGCTTTCACAAACACAAGATTTCACTCCAGTAAGAAAACGATTCAAACACAGATGCTGCATGATTTTGAAATAGCCCACAGGCCTTTAGCGAACAGGATAATCATCCTTCCCTCTTTCCAAAGATGGATGTGACTCTTCAATGCCATTACAGGACAGACACTGAGACCAGAGATCACGAAATAAGCCACAGAGCTCTGGTTCTTAGGCAACAAGTTGTAAGAAAGGGCACGCCGGTTGCTTACAGGGTACTTCCAGACCTGCAGCTTTGGAAAAGATGGAGCTAAGAGAGGAGGCCATCAGCAAGACTACAGTAAGGGTGAAGAGGTGTTCACACGCTCATTTTGTTGTCTACCTTTAGCTTTTCAGGGCCTATTTTTAAGAAAAGTTGTCTCTTCATGGAATTAGAGATGAGCAGAAAATATGCAAGCATGGCAGTAATAGCTGGCAGTAATGTCTGATCTAAATAGATGACTGTCAAAGCCTGTGGACTTCCTAATCTTCTAATATCATGGTTTATGAAGCTAGCTGAAGTCCAGGCAGCCACTGTGCCAAATGGTAAGGGGCCTGCCATTCTCTCGCCAAGATCCACAGAACTGCTGACCCTCAACACCAGCTCTGCATCTAGCTTGAAAAACTAATCGGAAATGTTGCGTCTGACATGCAGGGAATTGCCATCAAACCGCAAGTGGGGCCTCGTAAGGTGTGGTGCTGAGGAGTCAGCCCTTGCAAGAGGGCAAGATTGTCTTGTGGCAAGATTTTGCAGAGGAGAAGATGGACACTGCTTTCATTTGAGACAGAAGGTAATAAGAATTCCCCTTTGTCCAGTTCTTAGAGATTACTGTATTATTTTTTTAATAGATCAGTGCAATGTTTCTGGAACAAGGCAGCAGGGTGCATAGAGCAGGTACAGACACAGCAGGATTCCTCGGCCAGTATTTATCCCCAGGGTGCCTCTCCCCTCCGCCCTCACAACAGCCATTCCTCCCTGGATGCTATCTCAGATTTCAGAATAAACCAAAGGGGCGTCAAAGGGAATGAAACATTTAATTACTAGTAATTGGTATCCTCTGCACATCATGCCTCCATAGAGCCAGCCGGTAGGTGAGGCAAGAGACTCCTACAGTGGGCTTTGCAGACTCTGTGGGGAAATAATTGAAGGAAAGGGCCGCAGGCTGGTGCAGTGGGAGAGCAGCAGTGCACGTGGGCCGGCAGGCAGCTGTGCAGCCAGCGCAGGCCAGGCCGAGGGGCTGCAAGGGTGGTGGTCTACCTTGCAAAAGGTGCCAGGCAGTAATCAGAAACTAGAGCAGACAAGCATTTTACATTGGGAATAAAGATCTGCTTGCCTCTCCACCCTTCTCAAAAAAAAAACCTCTTTGCTGAGTCTTTTCAGAAGCTGAAGTTTTCTGTCTACCGTGTGCTTTATTTCCATAAAGAATTGATTACACCCTGACGTAAGCATCAGCCGGTCACAGAAACCCAACAGAATGCCAAAGAGCAGCAGCTGCTGGAAATAAAATCCCTAGCCTCTTTGCTAATCTCCCCAGAATTCCCATTTGGATTAGGGAGAGATCCCTCTATGGCCATAACACATTCTGATGTTAGGGGAACACTCTGCTCCTAAAAGGAAGGGCTACCTTACTCACAACCCCCTCTGCCTGGGCCAGAGGGGGATAGGGCTGTTAGAAAGCCCCAGTGCTGTCCAGGGACAAAAAACGTTTGGGGCAAAGAGGGAAAAGGAAAGGAAACTGAGGGTTGAATTTCTTAACAGTAGCTAATGATCAGTTTATAGTAGCAGCTGTCTTAGATAAGCATCTGTGTAGAACGCAGGTTCACCGCCAGCATCACCTCATTCATATAGCGACAATACGTTTTAAAAAGTTTAAAAAATTAAAAAGTAATTTAAACAAAATGTTTGTGTGTAAGAAATGGTTGAAACTGTCAAATGTCTGTGTCCCGCGTTGGTGGGATCTGAGAAGGTATCTGCAAGATATTAACCCTGTCCTACTCTCTGTGGTGCTGAGTGTTTGCTTGGTGTGTAATTCTGACCTGGAGCTTGTTGTAAATACTGTTTTTAGTACTATGATGATGATGATTATTATTATCAGAAATGTTGTACTCATGAGCAGGAGCTTAAAACAAAAGAAATGACCATTTTCACTCTGTCATTGGGGCTCGGAAGAACTTGGAGGCTGGGCCCGACGCAGGCAGGATGCCGGGGCCCGTGGGACGCAGGCTCAAAGAGAGCAGCCCTCGGGGAGGCCCGTGGCCGGGCCCGACCTGCCGAGGGGACTGCCAGCTTCGTGTGCCGAGGAAACCGCAGACTGGGGAGCTGCGGGGAGTTGAGTCCTGCAGGCAGGGGGGATAAGAGCAGGGAGAGGCCAGTCCTAGGGTTGGGAAGAGGAAGGAAGAGCTGAGAGACGTAATAAAGATGGTGCCTCAAATCAGTGCTCAATTCTGGTATACATCATTTAGCATGAATCCAGACCCCCCTGTGTGAGGGTGCTCCAGTCCGTTTCCTGCAACCAAGGAGCAAGACTGAGGAGCTGTGAGGTTTGGCATGTGCCATGGGAAAAAACGGTTGGTGGCAGGTTGTGTTCTGTTAGAGCCATCCTTCCCTGAACAGCTCCTGAGTCTCAGGGCTTGGTTCCTGCCCGGCTCCTCCATCTCAGTGCTTTGCGTAAGCAGCTAAGGCCCAATTAGTGGTATCCTCTGTGTAGTTAAAGGCCAGCCTTGATCTCAGGTGGAGACTTATTCTTGCAATAGCTTTGCCTGGCAAACAATCACATTGGAAATGCACAGAAGAAAGACCTGGCAAGTCAGGAGCCCAGCATGCAGTGCTCATGCTGGTGTGAGCACTGGGAAACTCATTTTTCTTACCTTCACTGGGTTGGTTCTGTGAGGCACAGTGGACATCATGGGTGACAAATTTGCTACTGCAGGGTAAACTCATGTCTCAGAGAAGCAGGGATGTGTCAGGTAGAGTTTTGCATCAGTAATATCAGGGAACTAGGTCTGTTACAGCTGATGAAATGTCTCACGCAAAGTAAACAGGATTGTCCAGTGTAGCCCAGGGTATCGGTGTAACAGAGTTACGTTTGCCTGGTGCAGATGAATGTATTGGGGATGTGAGGGAACTTAAAGTTTGTCCAGGGCCGCTGGACATTTTCAGGGAAATGTGTGATTGCTTTGGTTGCACACACCAGCTACCGCAGCGCCGGTTATATGGCGGGGCTGAGGAGAAGCTGGGCGCACCGTGCTGCAGGCAAGGGAGCGTAACTGATGCCGGGCACCTGCCTGAACTAACACTGTGCCTGACAGGCAACACACATCACTCTTTCAGTTCTCATAGCAGCAGCAGATCAGTTATTTCATTCCCTTCCATGTCCCAGGATTGCTAATGGTCGTGTGCAACAGCATACTTCACGCCTCAATTGAGACTAAGTATCCTCATTACTAACCTTACAGTCCCAGCCTGTTTCATTGCTATTGTGACTTTTCGACCGTCCCCATATACCGCAGTCTTCAGACATATTGCATGGCATGCAGTCCATAAATCCCTGGGGCAATGTTTCTTATGACAGGGCTTGAGGTTCTTCATTGATTCTTGTAGATGTTTATTAATCAAGCTTTGTAACTACAGTTAGCACCCAAATTTTGGCAGAAGCGCATTAACATTAGGCCTTGTGCCTGGTAGGTACAGCTCCCTGGAGGCCTCTGGCAGTGTTCCTGCCCAGACTAGGAACTGATAGAGTGTTTGCCGTTGTACAAGGGAAGAAAGACGAGACGGTGACAATTTATTAGTGTGCATACATGTCTCCAAGAGTTCTGGAGAAGGGCCTCTGATTCAGGCAAGACAAAGAAGCTGAAGCTAAATTCATTCTCAGCTGGCAGAGGCAGCCAGGAGAGCAGCACTTCTATGCAAGAGCTACAACAACTGGCCTCATATTTCAAACTCTAGCTCTGCGCTTCCATTAACATTTCGAGCAAAGTGTCCAGCTCTGTCTGTAGATGGGCACATTCGAGGACGTTAGGCCCTCGGACTGCTTACGGACTGAGCCTATTCCTTTTCTTATTATTGTTGTATCATAAAATAAATCTCGCTAAAATCCAGATGTGGGGTTACTTTTAAAGCTAACCTTGCAGGGATGGTGGCCGCTCACAATTGCATGCATCCTACGTTGCGGGCAAGTCTTGAATTGCTGCTCCTGTTAAAACGTAAGCTTCAGCTTGCTTGCTTTTGCTTAGCCCAGTGTGAATCTCTGGCCCTGGCTCTGCACAGCCTGTCTCACGGGGTTCATTAGTTCCATTAAGCTGCATTGCTTTACTCACTTGGAGGGGTTATGCATTCAGGTGTGCACGTGTGCACAGAAATGCATATCTGGAAATGATATATGCGCATACGCTCTTACTACCACTAGAAATGAGTCGAGGAATGGCTGTTTATGGTGCTAGAGACTTCTTACAATCCATGCTAGGGACGAGATGAAAGGACATATTAAGGTCAATAACTCCACCTTTGTAGTCAGTTGTCTTCTAAGTAAAGCAGAAGAGGGGCACTGGCCACCACCTACGTTTCGGTAATCCTTGGCCGCCGGGGACGTAGGGAGGCGACAGCCCTCCCCGCTGCCGGGGAGAGGCGTGAGCCGAGCACAAAGGGCAGCGCGGCCGGCAAGGCATCCTCGGCACCGCCTGCCCTGCGTCCTGGCCCCTCTGGTGTCTCAGTTCTCCCTCCTGTGACACAGGGACAATAATCCCTCCCGACCTCCCAGGGGCCTTGTGAGAATCAGTGACTTCATGTCTTCAAAGTGCTCTGAAAATGGAAAGCACCAAAGTGCTGAGCGGTGCTACAAAGTTGTCCACCTCCTAGTGGGGAATAAACTGGCACGCTGCTGTAGAAAGAGGTTTTGAAGGTGACGGTCTTGCCGGAAGGCTGGGTCATCACCTAAGCGGTGTTTGAGGTCCTCTGGGCTGCCCTGCCGCTCTCGCTGGACACGGGTGCCGGCCCGAGCGTCGCGGCCTTGCGCAGCGCTCGCTCCGCAGGACGCAGCGCGTGCCAGCTTGTTCCTTCCCACCGTCAGCTTGATGAGGAACCGTAACGGTGTCGGGAAAGGACTTTCCACCACTAACAGAGCCTTGTCTGGTTCCTTTAGGTCTACCGCGTGCATTTCATTGTCAACTTGAGGTTGTTGTTGTGCAAAAGAAGTGATTATGAAAAAAAAAAAGAAATAAACTTGGTATGAAACCATATGTGTCCATCTCTCTCCATTAATTGATTGTTTTCGTTCTAAGGCTTCTGTTTGTGTTGTGAAAATAATAATAAAATGCATTGAGCAGAAAATTGACCTGAAGATTTAACAAAGCAGAATTTAAGCATCTGTAGCCTAAATGAGTAGTTTTCATCTCATGTAAAAGATGCACAAATCCATAGTTTACCTCCATTCTCTGAGAAAAAAATAATTAAACGCTTGAATGAAGGTGACACAAACATCCCTTATGATCAGAAAGGTGAGGGCATAAAAAGTCCTTCCAGAGGAAGATCAAAAAAGACTTAACGAGACAATTACAGCTATAATAAATCCAATTCTAGAACACGCGCAACCTTCTTTTTAGAAGAAACCTACTGTTGGCGTAATGAGTTTTTCCTGAAAACCATCCCAGGGCCCCGCAGCCGGCCCGGGCAGCGGCGAGCCCCACGGCGCCTGGCTCCCG